CATAGAAAAAAAAGAAAAGGAAAGAAATGTTTCAGTAGGGTCATTTTTAATGGATTGTTTTTTCCAGGACACTATGTATGTATATATAAATATACTAACTAAGAGATGTACACGAGAATATATATGAGAACGTTTATTCTCTCCATTTCGGATTATTTAATCGTAGCCAATTCGTATACAAGCGCTTTAAGATAGGATTGAAGAAGAACGAAAAAGCAAGTAAAAAGAAAAAGATAATTTAGGTAATAATCGATCTTGATAATAACCGTCGATGAAATTGCGAATGAAACGAGTTGATAGTCGTAGAGGAAGGGGAGAAGGGATAGTAAAGTTGAATGGTGGTAGGGGGTGGGGGGGGGAGTATAACGACTGCTTCGATAACACGAATGGCGAAATGCAAGGTTATTAAACTTTGTTGGAATTTCTAGCACTTACTCTAACCGACTGTCCGAAGAACACGAAAGAAGAAGAAAAAGAAGAAGAAGAAGAAAATGAAGAAGTAGAAGAAGAAGAACGAGTTGTAGTAACGAAGTGGGCTGCTTGTTTGCGATCGGAGACGTAGTAGACCTTATTAGCAGCGGTTGTAAAATATTTTTCCACCGAAACTTTCGTTTCCCAATAAAAAAAATGTTGAAAATCTCGAACAGCAAATTATGATGATAACGGTACGAACGTTAGGGGGGTAGGGGACGGGGATCGCGAAATTTCAAATTCGTGGGATTTCGCTGCTTGTCTTCTATCCCCTTGAACGTGTTAGAATTCGCATAAATTCGAATAAACGTTTTTCCATATGACAAATTGAGAATGACAGTAACATCGATAAAGAAAATAATAATAATACGAAGAGAGATAGAGAGAGAAAGAGAGAGAGAGAGAGAGAGAGAGAGAGAGAGAGTCCGTATATGACTTTGCAATCGAAAAAGAATTTCTACGTATGTTTCTATGTCTAACATGGCGATTCTCTGTCAAAGGAACGATACAGTACCGTGGATGTACGAGGTTCGTTTCATGGAGAGCCAATAAGGCAAGTAAGAAAGTAGAAGGAGGAGGAAGAAGAAAATAAGAGTTCTGGAATAAGTTCGAAAGAGAAAGGAAAAAGAAAGATGGAAGGGTAAAAAGGAATTCAATAAGATCGCTTTTTCCGAATCACACGGATGCTCGCTCTGGCTGACATCGAAATAGCAGTTAGAAATTTCCATAGGACGAGGACGAAGACGAGGATCGGTACCTTTGAAGAACGAACTTAGAAATGGCCGGGATGGATATCCTACAGTTGTAAAGAGGGGGAATGGGGTTTTTTTTTCTGAAACGGCCCAGTACAGTATCTCGGTACAATCGTGCATTTCTTCGAGATTTCTCGAAGATGTTTCTCTCTTCATTCGAGAAATAACGGGGTAGAAGAGGGAGGGAGGGGATACGTAGTAAAGGTAATTCTTCTTATTCGCGTTGTCCACGAAATGCCGAATGCTACGCGACCTAGTTGAATCCTACTTACGTAAAGACGACGTCGTATTCCAGTTGTATTGTTTGGAAGGATTTAACCGAATGCGGCCAGTACTCAACTTGGCTGGCTTCACTTATTCTTACTTACACGACACACACGTGTCGTATTCTTCCCCTTGCCCTCTTGAAGGGAAAGGAACCATTTGTCTGGCTTGCCGTGGACTAACTAGAAACTCACTCCCGTACCACGGTTACCTACCTACTATCTACCTTCTTCCTCTTCCTCCTCCTCCTCCTCTTTCCTTTCGCGAAGATCATTTTTAAGCGACGACAAAAGACACCCTTTTCCAGTGTCGCCGCTGCTGCTGCGATTTTCCTCGTCGTTTTCGCTTTTGTACTTTCTCGATTTTTTTTTTTTACTTCCCATCTCTTTAAGCATTACCTACTTTTTTTTTTCTTTTTTTTTTTTTTTTTTTTTACCTACCAGACTCACGACCGTACATTTCAACAAAATTCTTCGACTCTAATGCATTCGGACACGGTATTAAGTATATCTATGTAAGTAGAAATACTGCGTATATACATATATGTACTTTTCTCGGACAAAAGTTTGAAAGATTAAAGAGAGAATGATTTATATTTTTGTTTTTGACTAAAATTGTATTCTTATAGAATTTATGCATCACATAATTCGTACGATTATTTCTTATTTATTTATTCGATTGAAAATATTAGACTCGATGTCAACGACAATTTTAATAATAAAATTGTACTCGAGCGTCCGAATGGTTGTGGGGCTGGGAGGGGAAGGGGATGACTTAATTCCCTTCACGATTATTTTTATTTTTTCATTGTCGGATGTTTTTCATCGTGAGTAATAATACAAACGACAGTAATAGAAGGAAGGTGTTTGGATAATGAGCAAGCATTGTAGATCGCAAATCGTTGATCATCCCGTTTATATTTATAACGTGACCGTGAAACGTAACGTTAATGTTTCTTTTTCATGAACGAAGATTCATAAAATCTTAATTGTGTTAGTACCGTTGAACGAATTACTCGTCGTTTCGAGGAGAAGAGTACCTTACGAACAAGGAGGTTTATAAACGACGTACAACGAAATTATAACGACGTCGCTTTCTTTTTCTTTTTGTTTCATGGCTTTTTTTTCTTTTTTTCTTTTATTATTGCGTGCGGGCCGTCGGTTTACAAGTATTAGTCCGTGTGTAGACAAGTGAAAGAGAACGAGCGAGCAAGCACGCCTTATAAGAATTCCTGTCGTTAGCAAGCTGCTCACCGAACGACATTATGGTACCAGGAACGACACCTGGCACCGTCAAATATCGAATCGTTGTTTCTACTTTATATTAGAAATTTTATTCGATTTTATACCATACATATACACGCGCAAACACACACACACACACACTATTATAAACCTTAATTACATTATTATTTGTCTTCTTTTACTTTTGTTGCGTATATCATATCTTTTTCGTATCTCTCACGTAGTATTTTTCCCTTCTATTTATTTTTATCTCTCTATCGGGTAATTGTGAAAATCATTGAACGAGTCTACCGTTAAATTCGCGAATCCCTTTTCTCTCGCGTTGATTCGTTTCGTTTCGTTTCGTTACGTTTCGTTCATTCATTCATTCATTTCGCGGCGGAAATTCGATATTATTAAGTGGTAAATATGTACACATATACGGCTTTAATCATGCGCCGCGAAAATTAATTTTTGGAATATATCGATCGTATTTCGTATTTCGCATACTATGTTTGTGTGCGTGCGTGTGTGTGTTTGTGTGTGTGTGTATGTCTGTGAGAATATTGAGCGCTGGTCACATTCGATAAATTTATCCTGACGATATTGTCTATTTCGCGACGTAGAGAACGTGCTCGGTTCTGTTCGTTTATTGCGGTATTTAAATGAATTGGACAACGGTTTCGTCGATTTTATTTTTACCAGTTATATACTTTAAATACTTTTTTTTTTGCTTCTTCTTTTCTTTTATTTGTTGTTAACGTTTTTCTAGATTAATATAAATCGGCTCGCTTTGCAACACTATGGTTGGTTGCGAGACAACGCGATCTACGAATATCCGAATGGATTTCGTTTTCGAACAAAATCAACTATTTTATTTTTACCAAATGTAAACTCTCGTTCGCATATTTTTTTTCTATTTTTTTTTTTTTTTAAATCATGCGCCACGTGCAAGTAAATTTTCAAATAGAAATTTTCTTATCGGATAATTATCAGTCGACGAATGCGTTTTGTTAAGGAACGAAGTATTTCTATTTTTTTTTTCTTCTCGCAACTAAAAAGATTTCCATACGAAGCGAGCTTTTTCTTTTTTATTCCTTTAGATATTTTTTCCTCCTCCTCCTTCGTGACATGATTTATGAGTTACGCGAATAAGAATATGAGGTTGGGGTTGTGTTGTTCCGAACGCGTATCGTCCAACCATTCAAATCGTATTTAGATTTAACTTGAATTAGACAAAAGGGTACCAAATTTATACTCCTATCCCATTTTCTATTTCTCTTTCATTCTCTATTCATCTATATATATATCTATTTCTCTTTCTACAAATCTGCGTAGACCGCATGACGCGAAATTGGAGAATTTTCGGATGACCGGGTACACGCGGGTAAAATTGTAATTCCATTACTTCTCAATTACTCGCAATTACTCATATTTAAACCAGTAATCGTAAACAAATCTTGTTCGATAGATTCGACACCCATAGAGTCCATTTTCGTTGACTGTCTATCGAACAATGCTAGTACGTGTTAACGTCACACTAACAAATATATGTACAAATACGTTTGTACGTACCCTCGACAAGTTCGTTCGAACGTAAGCGATTCGAAAAGTATACAAAATCCTTCCTGTTTGCTAACAACCTTTCTCGTATCTTTCAACGAAAGAGCTTTAGCGAGTGTTCAATTCCGATCTACCGACCAATCGACGAATCAACCACCGCCATCCAATTTTCCATTTTTTCCATAAATTACGTTTCCGAAGGTACGATTACGAAATTTCGAACTTTTCCTACCAATTCATGAATCGAACGTGACATTTAATCCTTTTAGTTAGGTACACGTGTAGACACATAGACACATCTAACACAGGTAAGTAACCCTTACATTTATTTCTGTCAAATATTTTATTCAAAGAATTATTACAAATTCGTAGTAATAATAAAAAAAAAAAAAAAAAACACTTAGCAGTTAAATATGTGAATTCGACGCGAAAATGGCGATTGGAAAATGTTCTGTAAATATAAATTTAATTATTATAATCGCCCCCTCGAAACGTTATATATAATTGTTTTATTTTCTTTTTTCTTTCTTTTTTTTTTCAAATGTGAGTAACGAAAAGAACTAAATGGTGGATTAAAAAAGAAAAAGGAAAAAGAGGAAAAAAAAAGATTTTCTTCTCGAAGAGCACCACGCCAGTAGGTTCGCGCTCGCGCCGAGTACCCCGAGTGGTGGGAGCAGTGGCACGTTCGAGCAACCCCTTGGAGTTGACGAGTACGGAGTGGGGCGTGTGGAACGGTAGGAGGAGGGTGTTTCCTCGTGTGTTGGCCTCGAGGATATACGAACCGACGCACGAGCTCGGAACTTCAGTCTAGAAAGCGACGTGCGCTACCCTCGTCGTCGTTTGGGGATACGACGCGGTGTCGTTCACGCGTGATTATTATCATGCTTGAGAAACGTGCTATGTGTTCGTGCACCAGACGACAGGTGCAACCCCTACTGATGCTAGCTGCTTTTCTCGTTGGCGTAAGAACGGAGCTTGTCGGTGAGTTTTCGGTGTGAAAACATGTGTGACGACGCGTCGTAGTATTAAAACACTCTCTCATTATTCTAAAAAATTGTTTTTACTTTATATTATTTAATCGCATACACACACACACATAGCCCCCTCAAACCCCTTTTCATTTCATCCATTTTATTATTTATTTATTTTTCCTCCCTATTTACCATTTCGATCTCAATATTTTAGGAAGAAAAGAAAAGGAAAGGCAAAAGAAAAAGAAAAACTGGACGATTGACTTGATTTTTTATTTTCGTGACAGGATAGGTCGCATTTACTACCGGTGAAGTGTCACGTGTGATTGACAAGAATCGTAAGTTAGGATCGAAAGCCCGTGCAAGAGGGATTATCGTGTGTTATCCTGCGAAAAGTGACGCCTTCGACGTTCGACGTTTCTTCCCTTTAGTTACTAGAACACATTGTGATAGGAATGGGGATCGAAGTATCGAGGTATTTCGGTCGTTGATATATGTGAAAGATAATGCAAACTTACTTTCTTTATATTGTATAGGCTATGTCCTATATGTATGCATAACGTTAGAACATTCCCCGATCTAATCGAATTTTAATATTAAACGAGAGAGAGAGAGAACACAAACTTTTCATGTTGTCCGATATACACGTTGCTAAATTAATTGATCCTTATCCACGGGAAAAAACAACACTAATGTTTTTTCTTTCTTTTTTGATTAATAATACGATCCATTTTCATCTAGTTTCATTTATATTTGTAAACAAATTTTTCTTTTCTCGTTGTGACGTATTATTATTTATTATTTTTCGACGATCTTTTTTGTTTTATATTGTTTTGTTTTTTATCGAAAGATTATCACGAGAAAGAGGAGTGTTTTTTTGTTGTTGTTGTTAAAGTCATCGATAATCGGACCCCGTCCTTCTGTTCCGATTTGATTTTTCCTTTTTTTTTTTTTTTTATACGACTAACTTTTAGTCGAAGCTTGGCGCCGCCGCTGCCTATCGGATTTGCGCTTGTTATTTTCGGAAAATCCTTGTTATCCTAACACGTGACTTCGTTCCACGAAGTCTGTCGATCTTTTCATCGGATTTTTGTATATTTCGTGTATATATATATATAGAACTTTCATATAACAGGAGAAAAAAGTTGTTGCTGTTAGATACCATTTCGATAGTTTCACTATGTCTGTTAGATCGATTTGATTTCGCGAATAGATATTTTCTAATGGTTGAAACGTTCGTAGATAGGTAACGAAATCTAAAATGCGAATAGGAATGAATTGAAGAAGCCTGAATTTATGAGGAAACGTTTGCTCGGGGAACACGAGTAAAGACGAAAAGAATTACTACGTAAAGTATTAAGAAACTTGGGATCGTTAAAAACTTGAGTGGAAACTTGATAAAAGTAAAAGAAAGAAGCATTAACAGGATGGGTCTAAAACGTGCGATTACTGTCGTCCCTTTTTCCTGTGGTCATTTCAAAAGAAAATGGTCAAGCTTTTCCCGGCATGTAATTAACTTTTTAACGTTTTGTTTATTGGCCGTGAACGAGCACGATCTTTTTCTTTAAGCAATTATCGAAGCTTTATTTCGGCTTTTATTAATATTAAAAGCATCGTAAATGTAAATTTTTGTTTTTTTTTCCCCTTTACGCATAATTCGTCTTTACAATAAATATTTCGAAATATTTTCTATAGTACTCGGTTCGTCATTTATAATTTTGTTAGTTCTTTAAAAATATGCCATAGTATAGTATTCGTTCCAGCTTTTCTTACGACAGTGATCGCATCCTGATAAAGTTGTCCTTTCCTAAAGCATGGCAAGTGGTCCGTGAAGTTTGCTGGGCTGAAGTTAGTATAAACCCCCGTAGAAGAAATCCAATTTCCCCATACGCGAATTTTCTTATTTTACATTTAGACGTCGATCGATGATCATCCGGATTTCACCGTAGAAACTTTCGTTATCAATTTCGATGCTTTATTGTCTTATCATTTTCGTATAATATCTTCATGTGACGGTAATGAAGAAGAAGAAGAAGAAGAAGAAGATTTAAGTCTATTCCAAAATGAAATGTCGGTTTATTATCTAATTGTTAAACGTCTCGTTTCCGTTAATTTCTACTCTAATTATAAGTTACAGTTTAGACATCTCTTAAGATAACTAAATATATACTGACACTTTTTTTGTTTGTTTAAGAACAACGCTTATCCCTTTGTTTTAAATAGTTCAAATTGAGCGATACGATTATCTTCGTTAAAATAAAGTTCATTAGATTTGCCCAGACACTCGTAGTTCGCACTTTCGCGCGTCCACCTAATAGAGCATAATGTTGGCAACGTGATACGATGCTAATATTGTTGGTAAAACCATAAATCATATAGCGTGTCGCAGGATATTAAAATAATCATAACGACCAAATCTAACGACGAGGAGAACTGTTAAAAGAAGAGTAGTGTAGTAGACAAAGAGACAGAGAGAAAAAACAAAAAAACAAAAAAATAAGAAAAAAAACAAGAAGGGTGATTTTTCCTTCGTCATCGATATTTGTTCGTAATACAAATGTAGGATATGGACTGTTATTATTATTCGTTGCAAAAGTCATTACAATAAATATCAATTTGTGTAAAAAAAAAAAAAATATCAAACGCGTACAGAATACATATACATCAATCGGACATTTATTCGAACGTAATTATTATGTAATGATATTATCAAAATAAAATGTCGAGTAGTTTCTCGTGGTAATATTCGATCGGCAGTAGTTGGGGGGATTTAACTCCTAACTAACTGAGGAAATGTTATATTACTCGAAACACGAAGAAACCCTTTGAGTGTACCTACCCCCACCCACCCCCCCATTCACCCACCGTCTGTATTTAACGTTTGTTTCTTCCTCTTATCGTAATGATGGTTTTACGCAGAAACTAAATAGGAACTTGATGAGTTAACAGAAAAAGAATAAGCGTAAAGGGGTTGTTGAAAAGAGATAGGTTAAACGCTGGATGAAAATGATCTATGTACATGGAACGATATAATTTCGTTTAGAAGTGGAAGTAGACAGATGGCTTTCACGAGTATCGTTCAAATCCTTCGGCCATAAAATTGATCAAATTCTGAGATACGGAACCAGCAAATGCTTTGAATCCAATAAAGAGGATTAAGTGTACTGAGCTGTAAACACGGTTTGATTGAATTCTAGGACGACCGAGGGAGTACTTGCTATGTGTATATCCTTGTATGAGTAGCACCAGAAGAAAACAAAAGGGCTCGCCGAGACTTCTTCTTCTTTTACTTCTTCTTATACTTTTTCTTCCACTTTCATTACTGTTGAAAGTGTCGCGACGTTTGTCTTCTTCTAAATTGGATATCCTTTAAAAAGGAAACTCCAATCGCAGTACTTTCTTTCCCGTGCGGAAAATTTTTTAAATCAATTTCTCTTGGAATTTTTATTTTTTCTTTTTTTTTTGAGGGTGAGGAGTAAGTGGGGGGGGGTGGTTATCTATAATAGACTAGTTTAATTATTTAATACAGATCAATTAAATCGTACCGAATTTATTTAATCTCGTCTCATTTTTGTTTCTATTTATTTTACAAAAAAAAAGAAACAAAAAGTATTCGCGCAATTTGATTTATTATATAGCGAAATAATTGAAAAGAAAGAATCACGACAAATTGTTTTGCAAATTTGGTACAATTTTTGTTTTTTTGCGTGAGTAATTGTCGAAATAATATCGTATAGGAGTAATAATAAAAATGGATGTTTCTCTGAAAATTGTATTATTTTTTGTTATTGCCACATAGTTTTAAATATTCTATAATATTGCGGTTTTTTTATTGGTAATTTATCTCCACAAATAAGTATTATACACACGATATCGGTTGGATACGAGATGGAAAATAATATAGTGATAGAAAAATGGAAAATCTGTTAAAATATCATTTCAATGTTTCCCCTGGAGTATACTCGATCGTTATTGTCTCATTAGCATATTGTGCATATAGCTATTGGATTTTTTTTTTTTGTAATAATGTCAATGATAACGTTAAGTGATTACGCGTAAAAAATGTTCATCATCCTAACTTGTCTGCTTTCCTCGATCTTATAAAAATACAAAAAGTGAAGTTTGCATATCTTATAAAATTTATGGATTACTGACAACGTTAATAAATCGTTTTTGAACAATATTTATTCGTGTTTTATTTTATGCGATAATATTTTGTCCAAACATGATTACGTATTTTAACGTTCATTCGTTAAAAGTAATATAAGGAGATTAACAATACACGTGTAAGAGTATTATTACTTTCATATCGCAAACAAAAAAGAATACATTTTTTCATATTTTCATTATATTTATTCTTATAAAAATTGTTTAGACGCAATAATTGAAATGGTTTAGTAAGTACTTTCACCTATATCAAAAGTTATTATTAGAATTTGATTAGTTACGACAAAGTTACGAAGAAAGGGTTCTCATTGATGCAGTTACTCTCAGCTGTTGCTGACATTTCATTTACTAAAGTTGCATTGAAAAAGTCCAACCCTATTGATGCAACTGTATTACAAATTCGTTCCATGTGTTGTCTGTCTGTTTCTTTTTCTCTTATTTCTAACATATAGATATTACATATATACCTACTACATACGAATATTTAATTTACTTCATTTTATTTACCTAATATTAATCTCCTTTAATATTTTAAAAATCGATTAAATAGCCATTATCGATTATAATACAATTAAACCGTGAGAAAAAGAAAGAGAGAAAGAGTAAACATCGGATAGTAGTATTCATACTTAAGCGATTCTAATTGTAAGTTTAACGCAAGTAACACTCTTAAATTCATTCGTGATTAATGAGTTCTTCATTAATTCAATGTTATTTTAGATGGAAGGAAGGAAGTTGTCCGAGTTAAGAGAAACCGTTCTAATCAACCGACTCGAAGTTATCTATATACGATTCGAACAACGATTCAATTAACTGCGCATTTTCGCGGACACGAGGAGCTAT